TTTTTTTTTTTTTTTAATTTCGAAAAAAAAATATATTTTAACAAAAATATCATATTTATTTTTCAAGATATGATACTTTTTAACTTATAATTATGCATATCATCATAATTTTTTTAACGTGCGGTCTTACTGCAACGCAGATCGATCAATCGTATATTTTTCACAAAAATGCATAATGAGAATTATTAGGTTGTCACTCGTTTTACAAAAAATGCATACTCTTATAAAAATTTGCCATATTTAAAAAATAATATGAAATATAAATACGTCATTTGAATGTATAAGTATGCTTTTTGTTAATATAGTACGACGGATCGACCTGCCTAAATATTAGGTTGTCTCATACAAGAACTTGTGAGTTTTGCTTATGTCTATTAGGGTATAATACTTCGGTTGACAAGTATTTGTGTCATCTCAGTTTGTTTTTCTGTTCGGGAGACGGTGTTACTATTACATAGGTCGACTTATTATATATTTTTAATAAGAACGCATAGTGAAATTTGATTTTTTTTTTTTTTATAATAGATACTTTAATGAATCAAATATGTAAGTCTATTGAAAAATTATGGATGTACAATAGAGTAATCACTTGCCTCACATTACATAAATAAAAATTTCTTGCATTTCTTTCCAAAGTAAATTGAATTGCAATCATAGAGTACACACACAAATGTTTTTGGTGGACTTTTGAATTTCAACTACTATAAAATATTTTATTTGATTGTGGACTTTTTGATTTTTCAACTATTACATAGTATCTTATTTTTTTGTGTGGACGTGTGATTTCTTTGGTCCTTCTTTCTATAAAGATCATCTCGCCTTCTCAAAACTTTGTATGGAGTTTGTGTTGCAAATTGTAATTCCTATTGCAGAATTCAGATAATATGTGTTAAATGTTTAAGCCAAGTTGTTGAATCTCAAACAATCTTTTGATCTTCCCCCCACCATTTTTAGATGTGTTGGCCAATAAATTGTAATTAAAGTTCCAACTTATGTGCAACATTTTCCTAAATGTCACTAAATAAGACTTCCATCTAACACTATTTCATAAGACAAACTTCATAATTAGTCCCCTTCTACATATAATTAATTCAACCTAATACTTATCCAATTAATTCCGCAAAATCAAACATCTCAAACCCACGAAGCTTCACTCTTATAAGGTGATCTGATCATTAGGCGAGTCGACTCATTATATCTTTTTATTTTTTTATTTTTTTGAATGGAGGCCATAGTCTAGAAAACCGCTAGATAGTGATGATCCGTGGATGAACGACGCCTACGATATCGTGTAGTAACCACGACTTGACTTCTAGTGCTGGATCAAGTAGTCTCTGGCAGCCATTAGGACATGAATGAGCTAAGGTCCCTAGACAATCCGCAGCAAAATTTGCTTCACGATAACAATGCACAATATTCCTTACCCATCCCGCCTCAACAGCTCTTGTATGGCCCGAATTACTGCACTGTGCACCCCCCAACTCTCAAATGACGATCCCATAACCATACTAACGACACTCTGGTTATCCACGTCCGCAAAAACATTCTGAAACTCCAAATCCCAAGCTAACTGGAGTCCTTGAAGTAACCCTCAAAGCTCAACACCTGTAATCGTGGTATACCCAATATACATTACGAAACCATACCCAGTGACCTCCATCGTCTCGCACGAGTCCTCCAATCGACGCCATACCAGTGGACTTAATCAGTGAACCGTCAGTATTTATTTTAACCCCACCCGCCGGTGGCGCACTCCAAAAATCTATCG